CCCCAAAACCCCAAAACCCCAAAACCCCAATTAAAGATCTTTAAGATCACTAAGAAATACAGAAATGATTAATTAATTACATCATTAATTACATCATTATATACTTAGTCATGATTTCTTAATTAATGTCTCTCCTTATTTTTTATGATTTTGATAATTTAATGATTTCTCTTCGATACCGTCTAGAATAAGGAAATTAGACAGTATACAAGGCACTAATGCAAATAAACAGTAAAAAATCATTGGAATAGGAGCAGTAGCTTCTGCTACCATTGGTGAAAAAATTGTTGCTATCTTTGCAAATAAATTACATAATCCAAAAGCAGTTCCAGAAAATGAACTTGGAAATATTATAGCACTAATTAAATAGCAAACATTATACGCTGCACTTATTCCAAATCTGGCAAGTAAAATGGAAAATGGTATCAAATAACCCTAAGATCTTTCTTAAAATACTATCAGCATCGATCCACCAATGATAGAAACGCTATAACAAAAAAATAGAACTCTTCTAATCCCTATTTTCTCTAATAAGTAGCCACTTACTATGCATGCTATTGCTTCAGTGAGAGCAGCTACTAGAATGTTTGTAAAGAAATCACCCTTGATGTACTTTATTTGAAAGGTGAGTAATTAAAAGTCGAATGATGCTGCAATCCAGACTGTCATCATTATGAAGAGATTACAAGCATGCTACTTTTACTTAAGGATTTCTTTGACACTACTAAACTTAGTTTAGTTTTTATCTTTCAATATTATTCTATCTTATCCGTTGCTTGATATAGTGTCACTATTGATTGATATGTTTTCTAAAATCTCATTCTGCTCATTTGTTGATTTATATTAATTCAAGTCTTGATCTGGTATTCCTAATAGTAAATATGTTTCTTCATCACTCTATTGTAGTGTTTCTACTTCATCTTTAAACTTGAAATCTAGTTGCCCTTTATAACTATTCCACCAAGCAATAGTTTCCAAAGATTTTCTCGCATCATCATATTATTTTTTGCTAATAAGGTATTATGGAGATTCAGGAAGTGCAAATATTGATATAGTCACTAAGAGAGTAGTAAATGCACTTAAAGTTTGAAATGGCAGCCAATCTTTACTAATGTAGATATGATACAAAGCTAGTATAGCTGGAACGATAGCTAATGAAACTAAGGCAAATGACCCGATAAATGTTTTATACTTATCTGGGGTCATCTCCTGCATAAATATAAAGCCAATAGATGTTCTAACAAATGATACTAAGCCAAATCCACAAATTAGTACTAAAGTTATGTTTAAACTTTATGACATCAGTATAGCTGCATAGAAGAATGTTTACAATCCCATAGATAAAAGGTAAATGTTCTTTCTACCATATTTTTCCTAGTAAGTTTTATTAATTAATGTTTAATTACAGTAAATCCTAGTAGTAGTGTAAAAGCACCTAGGAATTACCCTATGAAAAACATAGATCCGATCATCCCAATTCTTGATGCACTTTCACAAGTCAAATCTAACGATTCTACCCAATTATAAAGACTAGTTGGATCATCCCAATCAATCTTATACTTAATTGAGGGATCGATGCAGAAAGATTAGTCAGCTTAACACTCATAAGTAGTTCCAACTTCGTTAAAACATAAATATTTCGGAGGCTTTTCAAGCATTGAAAATGCTGTTATAAGACATCCTCCATTAGTAAAACCCCAGATGAACAAAGGAGTAGCCCAGAATTAGAAATAACTAAATCCCCCAAGCCTATCATAAGCTTAATCTAAAGTAAGTATTTCAACTTCTGTACTACAATGGTCTGTTGACAATCTATTTGACGAATCATTATCGTAAATCGTCTCAAATTTTGTGCTTCTCTCTGAAGTATGATCAAATTAAGTGCTACTCATAATTGATGTTTATATCCGTTATAAATTAATATGCTAAACCTTAATAAATGTAAAGTATTTAATACTGCTAATTTCAATTAAGAATTAGCATCATGGGGTTTTGGGGTTTTGGGGTTTTGGGG